CCCCCCCCCCCCCCCCCCCCTGGCAAGGCCAAGGGTCTGTGTAACGACTACGGCATGCACGTGTAATAGCGTTCAAATGGCAAAAACTCTCATCTGTTGTCTTCGCTCTCAGTTCGCGAACGTGACGACTCGCGGAGGCCTGAGCTGTGTTCCTTTGTCTTCTCTCTCTCTCCCTGTTTCTCGAGCTGATGTCTCGAGACCGGGTCTTGGCTTGGTTCGAGCTCAGATTAACGTGCAAACGGTCGCAATACGTTCGAATATCACGACGGTACGTGATACGAACGACAAGTGGACAAGCATGCACGTGATACCTTCACGGTGGACAATGTTCACACGGTTCTTTATCTTCCTTCACGGGGGGTGGGTTTTGACTGAAAACGAGGTGCTTGGTAGACAGGTCTCGACGCCGAGAACGCCTCCTCAAAGAAATGTAACTGTTGCTCGTTCGTTGAAGCATGCGGCTTAACTCCAGACGCTTCGGCTCATTTATCATATTTGGTGTATCCATACACACAAGCTGCCATAACACACGCCGATGAGTACACGCCCACCCCACCCCCCGCCTATGCTTCCTCGAACACCCGCCTCCTGCTCCGCGGCAGGAGAATTGCGCCGACTCCAGGAACGGCGTAACCCGGCCGGGGGAGTTGCTAGTCGCCGACGGGGGCATGCTTTGTCCCCCCGCCGTCCTAGACGTGTGCGCTCTTTATGGCAGATCCAATCCTTCCCTGGTGGTTCGGTTGTTGATGTCGCTGGGCGAGTTGGATGGTGGGGCTGCAGGCGTGTCTTCCCTGGCTGAGGGTCTCGAGAAGGCCGTGTTCGCAGCGGCTGGCGCGCTGGCGGAAGTCCACGCGAAGGTGTGCATACTTTTTTCGTTTGTCTCTTGTAGCCCGTGTTAGGAGCAGCAGCAAGCAACGACGACGTATTCAACAGCAGCAAACGGCAGCACAAACAGCAACGTATTCAACAGCAGCAAACGGCGGCAAACAAACGCAGGCGCAACAGTGCAGAGAATGTAGGAATCCGACACCATCACCAACGATAATTCTTTTTACCTTACACATACCGCGTACAACCCTCACGGCAGATGGCCGGCGCCCAAGATGGCCTTGGCCTCGGGCCTCCCATCGACCACACGGAGGCCTCCGATGTCCTGTCCTACGTCACCGACGTCGCCGTCAGCGTTGGCTCTCTCCTCCAAGCCTCCTGTGGTGTACGTGCTGTCGGCAGTGGCGCCGGTGGAGGAATCGGGTTGCTGGCGCAGCGGCTTCAAGGGTCCGACGGCGAGGTTTCCCCCGAGGGGCTGGCGGCGGCGCTGGCCCTGACTTTCGAGGCCACGCTGCCCGCCCTGGAAAGCTTTCTCCTGGCGCCGACCTCCTCCGGCAAGGTGTGACTCGAATTTTTGGAGAGGGGGCTTTGTTGTTGTTGGTGTTGTTGTTGACTTGTGCATTGTGGATATTGTTGTTGGTGATGATGTTAGTGTTGCGGTTATGTCCCTGAGAGTTGACCGTGTGTTCCGTACATACGCAAGAGCAGAGAAGCGTTTTGGGCACGACGGTTGGTCGTTTCAGGCTTCCTGAAACCAACAAGCAGAGATAACAGTCAGATTCGTGTGAGGGGGCAGCACTCTTTCCCTGGCGACACGCCCACATATCGATTCCGATAGTTCGCCTCCGATAAATCACCCGCGTCGATGCTTCGCGTTCGTCTTTGCTGGTCACAGGTCGGGGCACCTGACTCCGAGAGCGTGAGAGCGAGGGGGCGCGTGGCGAGGCAGTGGCTCCTCCGGTGCCTCCACGGGCTGATAGGTCCGGTTTTTCTGCAGCCGCTAGGCCTGCAGGAGGCGTCGCCATCTGTAGCGGGGAGCTGGGACGGAGACGGGGCAGGACATGCCGGGGTGGCAGGTGACGGCTCGTTTGTTCATGTGTTCTTTCTTTATCTGTCCTGCTCGGGCGCCAGCTTTGCCTGAGAATTTTCTCGTTGTGTTCGTATTTTTTCCGGCTGCAACATGATCAAAGCTCCAGTGGCGGCACGTCCAATTTCATCGGTAGCCCCACTTGGTGTCCTCGCGCCCACTCTCACCCCCCCCCCCTCCCCCCCACGGTGTGATTCACGTTTCCTCGTTATTTGTACACCCTATCATGCCTCTCGTCGTTCGCGGTTTTCACGCTAAAAAAAACTCAACCAACGGATCCTGAACACGCCACGCCAACGCCAACAACAACAACAACAACAACAACAACAACAACAACAACAACAACAACAACGCGATGGGCTAATAAAAACACACCACGCCGCACACGCATCTCAAGACGGCCTGTTCAGCTTCGTCACCTCCGTCACCGCCGCCTCCGGCCACCTCGCGCCCACCGGCTATGCGGGGGCCCTCCTCGGGGAATACAACCGCTGTTTCCACCTCGCCGACGCCCTCGACCAGGCCCAGGCCCTCGGAACGCAACCAATCCCGCCGCAGTCGCCGTCGGAGAAGCAACGGACACCGCGGGTGGGTCTATCGCCGGGCGCTGTTCTCGGCCCCGAGCGCACGGAGTACCTGACGGGGGTCCTCCGCGCCCTACCCGTTTCGGAGGAAGGGGTTTCGAAGGAGGCAGAGGCAGCAGCGGCGGCGGCGGCGGCGGCGGGGGCGAGGGCGAGGGCCATGTCGGCGGCGTTGGACATGGGGGGAGGGGAGGGCCGGGGGGCCGGGGGGGGCGGGGGTGGGGGGGTACCCCCTCGCGACCCGGAGGAGCTGGAGGAGATGGTGAAGAGCGTGCAGGCTGTGCTGGGGGGCACGGGGGAGCCCGGCGGGCTCGGGGAAGGGTTTGTGGAGGCGTGCCTATCGGTGCTCGGGTGGTCGCCGCAGGTGTGTTTTGTGTGTTGTGTGTTAGCGTCGACCGCTCTAACCGGTTGACCAATGAGAATCGGTGCCAACGGGTATGGTCAGCTTTCCTGGAAGGGGTCCCTGGAAGGGGTCCGAAAATTTTGAAAAGTGCTCAATGCACTAAACATTCGGGTGTTTTTTTTGTTTGCGGCGACCGCGCTAACCGGATGACTCGTGAGAAGACGTCAGTCTCCTATTTAGTGCGGCNCGGACCGGCGCTGGACCTCATTGCCGGCGGCGTGCCTGGAGTGTGGCTTGTTTGTCCTGCCGCAGAGTTGTTGTCGTTTCTCGGTGTGCAGCCACCGACTGTCGCAGCAAGCCTATTTGTTTTCGCCCGTTACCTTGCCCTGCCTTAGCGCCATCTTTTCGTCGACGTGGATACCTCGACGTCCCCTAGTGCGACCATGTTGCCGTCGAGCTCGCATTGCCGGTGCATACACCTCGCCAGTGCCGCCGCGACCACCGCCGAGCACATGCCTCATGTCTTCATGACTTCGAGCGGTTTCCTAGCTGAGCTCAGCACGGAATAGACATGTACGACTGCGTACCACAGATTCGTTGTAGTAGTTTCTTTTTTGTTTTCGTTCGATGTGGTTTCGCTGAGCTCTTGGGAGGCTGAACAAACGTCGAGCGTGTGGGCTGTTGGAGCTTGGTAGACGTCCCGGCCGGCAGTGGTTGGGCTTTGCTAGCTTTCTGTTTTTTGTGGTGCATCACCCCTTGTGACAACACTGCTGTAAGTACTTCGTGAGCCCGCTCAGGATCGCACCCTTACATGAAGCGTTTTTTTGCTTTAATTCTTTCGCGCATGTGCTCGTTGCGCGCCTTTCCCAGGGAGTGATCGAGGCCGTCCTAGAGGACCGGTTGCCACCGCAAGTTGCCAACCTTAACCGTGGGCTGCGGCGGGCGTGGAAGGTGATAAAGTAGGAAGCCCGCATCCTCTTTGAATTGACCGGTGTATGTAAGGTTTTTTCATGGTTGCAGACGCACCTTACCCTGGGCTGCTGCTGCTGCTGCTGCTGCTGTGCGCCCTCTTTTTTTGCCCTTTTCGCTGTGTGCCATGGTATCATCTTGAAACTCTTGTTCCTTAGGGGTGAATGGAAAACCATAAGATTCCGCGGCTGCTGGGCTTCGCTTTGCCTCCTTTGCGAGCGTGGCTTGTTGAGGGGGAAGGACTGCCGTGGCCGGGGCTTGTGATATCGAAAACCTCATGTTTTGCAAGGATTCCGCCCCCCCTAGGCTTGAACTTACCATACACGATCAAGCAATCCCCAAGGTCTTGTCCATTGGTCGTGTGCGGTGGTTGGGCTTGAAACTATTGACATGTGGTCCGATTTTCTTCGCGTCCTAGCCATGGGAGTTCCTTTTTTTTGTGTAGACATGTACGTACCCGTTTCTTTTTTTCCTTCTGTTTCTGTCTGTCTCAGAGCTCCCCCGCCTCCGTTCCGCCGCTTATTGTTTTCAGGGCAAGAAGGGAGACTTGGACAAGGCCTACCGCGTGGACAAGGACCTCGCGGCCGCAGAGGCGAAGCGGCTCATCGCCATGGAGAAGCGGCAAGAGGATGACGCCTACCTCCTCTCCAGGGAGTACGACGACGACTATGACGACCAGGCATGTTGTTAGTGGCGTTGCGTCACCCTCCCGTGCGCTGATGGTGTTGGTGTTGCGGCGGTTCTCTCTGTCCTGGTGTTGTCGCTGGTGGTTTCGGACTACGTGTGTCGGTGGGGAGAGACGACTACTCGTTTGTTGCAGGGGTGTTGCCTTGGTGGTTTGGTTGATGCTTCTCCCAGCAGTACACATGATCTTCCGTCCCCAGTTGTTGTTGTTTTGTGTTGACTAGCGTGTCTCACCACGTCTGCGGGGGAGAAGCCTCCTGTTCTATTCTTCCCGTGGGATGCCGTGCTGCGGCGCTTGTATCTATGTGGTCCCGCTCTCTTGTCGTGTGATTGCTGAGAAACGCTGAACAGCAGGGCGGGAGGTTTGCACAGCTTTATTTTGCGATGTTGTATTCCGGCTTTCAATTATTTCCCGAAACTCTCCCTTTCGTTCTTCGCACCGGTGCGCGGTTACTGCTGCTGCTGCTAATGCTGCTGCTGCTGCTAATGCTGCTGCTACGTCTCTGCAGTATGATGACCGCGAGGTCGATGTGGGCGGCGGCGGCGGCCGCGGGTCCGACTTCGAGACGGTGCGGAGGGTCAACCAGCTCGTTCGGCAGGAGGAGGAGGAGGACGCCTGGTGGGAGAACAACAAGAACACCAACCTCAGGTCAGTCACCGGTTCCCAAATAAAAAAATAGAACAATGCGCGTTATTTTCGTACTACCATGCGCTCGAGTTGGGCCCTTCTTTTTTGCCATCACTTTTTTGTTTGGTATTGCAGCGCGATGACGCGGTTATTTTTTTAGCGGCGCAGGCGGGTCGTGGTGTGTTTGGGGGGCACACCTGCTTGCCTTTTCCTGTCGCGCGCTGTCGGTTGGAGAGGTGGAATGGGAACCTTTAGTAGGCGTTGCCGCACTCACTCCTACTATGTATCATAGGGTTGTATAAAATTGCAAAAAGCAGCAACCATCAAGGACTTGTTCCGGCCACACGATGCCCGCCGGTGGGCCTCACCACACGAATGGATCGGCTCTGAGCTGCTTTCCTGTCGAGCCGAAGATGATGCCTATCAACAGGACGGTACACACGCGCAAGGTTTTGGCGTTTACATACGCGCAAGATCTCGGCTTTTTGCGTCATCGGTCGGCCGATCGGCGGACCGGTCCTAGATGAAAACTGAACAGACGAGTGCTTATGCTGTACATACCCACACGAGTGCACGCCCTAACCGCCCCCCCCCCTGAATCTCTTGACGCTCTCTCTCCGCAGTGTCGCCGCTCCAAAAGGCGGGGGTTGGCGGGCGAGAAGCCATAGAGAACAAGGAGAAGAGGCGGAAGAGAATGACGCCCAAGAACAAGCTTCTTCTGCCGGTGGCGGTGGCCGCGGCGGCGGCGGTAGAGGAGGCGGCCGGGGAGGCGGACCACCCCCAGGGGGCAAAGGGCGAGACGGCGGCGGCGACGGCGGCCGCGGTGGCGGCGGCAGCAATAGATCGGGGAGTAGGGGTAGAGG